AAAAAAAAAAAAAAAAAAAAGACATGACCAACGATTTTATCCACGTAACTTCAACTCATCTTACCCAAAAATATACCCTTTTTTAGCTTTTTTTTTCCTCTCTTTCCTCTTCCCTTTCTTCAACTTTTGCAAACCCAGCAACCACTAAGTTTTTTCAAACCTAGCAAGCCTCGAAGGAGGCAATTTTGTTTGATGATGATAAAGAATTAATTGATGAAGAATTAATTGATGAAGAATGGAATTACATTTCATTGAGTTGATTATTTGATTTAAAATGAATGAAGAAGATTTGAGAAAGAGGATGTTGGATGAAGAATGAGGGCAAAATTATAAATTTAATGGATTAAATAATTATATTTGTTTTATTACATGGCCAATATTTTTTAGCCACATCATTCTTTTATCTATGCTATCAATCTTATTTGTCAAATATGTGAACATGTCATTCTTATTTCGTCAGATAGCAGGCCATCTCAGCAAAAATTTAATGAAAGGATCAAGTTGGAGCTAAAATGGTAAATAGTAAGGACCCAAATCAAGGATTTTTTGAGGTGAGGGATTCAATAAGGTTCGTACAATACTTGAGGGACCAAAATGAGCGTTCAACCTATAAAATATTATAATTTTTAATAAAATTATTTAAATACATTTAATAAAATTTTTATTATATATTAATATATTAAAAATATTTAAATAATTTCAAGCAAAGTACCTAAATTTTAATGGCAAAAACTTAATTTTAGCCCTTTAATTTAATAAGTTTATATGTTTTAACTATTTATCTTATATTATTATGATACTTTTAGTCTATCATCTTTAGGAATCGAAGAAAATAACTTTTATTTAATGTCAGTTTATAACGTTCGTAAGCTAATTGTTAATATTCTGTTAACTTTGTTTTTGTTATTGTTAATAATTTGTCAGTTAGCTATTAATAAAATGTTAATAGTGAGTTGATGAAAATTATAATCTTACATTAAATAAAAGTTATTTTTTTCAATATATATAAGTAAAGGTTAAAAATATCCTAATATAAATTGAGAAGTTAAAGCTATAAACTTATTAAGTAACTTTTTGTCAATTTTAATTGCCGCAATCCAACAATAACACCCTGTTTGGATTGAGGGAGACCAACGGAGAGGGATGGGGAGTGAAGGGGACGGATGGTAATTGAGGGAGAGGGAGGGGAGACTGTCTCCTTCCTTATGTTTGGATATGCAAAGAGCAAGAAGGGGAAGGAGATGGAGGAG